ATGTAATTTTGTTGGATAAAGCACTGGCCCTGGTACCCAACTTGTGGCCCGAGGGCCGCATGCGGCCCTTTTGGTATATGATGTGTGGCCCCAGGATCTCAGGAGTCTGTAAGGGGAATATTGATTAGGGTAATAGCATTGATCTCTGCTTCGGCAGTATATCCCCCAGCCAAAAATGGATCCTGTCCACACTTTCTGACCCTGATTTCTTCTATTAGGTATGCAGTTTCTGCCAGTCCTCTCAAGCATTAAATATACTGAACACTATGAGCAGCCCTTTGGTGATGCCAGGGGCCACATTTGAAGCTGGATAACTGACAATTCACTAACAGTTAAAGAGCACCCCCCTACACACACATGCCCCAGCCCCTTCTACAGATAACTCCATGAAGATTACCTAAAACCAGTGGTGTATTAGTTTTTTGCCCTAAGCAACACAAAAAATGGATTCCCCCCCCCATGGACATTGACCAACAACATCCCAGCCCCCCCCCACCTGAAAGAGCCTTCCACTACCACCGGGCAACCAACCACCCCCACCCCGGCAAGAGAGAAGACACTCACCTTCACAGCTCCGGACATCTCCAGGAACAAGAGTTGGGCTCTGCATACACCATCAAGCAGCCCGCAGCCTCTCTCAGATCCCACCTGGTCCCCGTGCTGCATGTGTCCCTTCTTCCTTTCCTTCTTTCAGGGGACAGCGCTGCCCCCCTGAAAAATGCTGCTGCCCGCCTGAAAAATGCCGCCCTAGGCAAATGTCTTGTTTGCCTTGTGGTAAATACACCCCTGCCTAAAACATAGATAAGTATGCTTACCAACTTCCATGCTGCCTCTCCGTCTTTATTCGTCCTCCTCATGATGCCTCTCTGCTGCCTGTGCCCTCGCTCCTGTACCACCATTATTTTTTTCTTTAAAAAAAAAATGTTTTGCCCCCTGGCACAAGGCCATATTAGGTCAATATCATTGGATTTATACAGCCATGTGTTCAATGATGTCATAAGAATTTCTTCCCCTTTGTATAGGTGCAGCTGCAGAGTGGGCAGTCCCTTGCCTGAATTTCATTGGCCCAGCAGTGACAGCTGTCTTCTATATGCAGTCACTCTGAACCCCAGCTCATCCTTACGCCTAGTACACATGATGAGAAAATCGACTAAAAAAACACATTTGGTGCGATTGTCTGCTAATCTATTCATTAGTACGCAGCTTTTGAGAGCCGATCACAACCAAGTGAAAATATATGAAAATATTTCTCGTAAGATAACAGGACAAATGATTTTTGTGTAATTAGTATAGTATCCTAGATTGTAAGCTCCAAGGAGCCTATCCTGCCCTCAGCTAATACTGGAATCTTCTACTCTTCCTACCAGTCCATCCCCCACAGTTACTACCTCTTGTACCACTAGCCCCTCCCTCTTAGATTGTAAGCTCCAAGGAGCAGGGCCCTCCTATCCCTCTTGTATTGAACTGTATTGTTGCTGTATTGTCTCCCTTTATATTGTAAAGCGCTGAGCAAACTGTTGGCGCGATATAAATCCTGTATAATAATAATGATAGTATTTGTATGAAAAAAATCAAGTGGCCAAGACCACGTATGCTCAGTAACAAAAGAATACATTACATCACTTCCGAAGTTGTATTCTGTCTTACGAGAATTTTTGTAACTTTAGTAACCTATTAGTTTTTGATAACAAACTAGCGTACAAAAAAAAAAAAAAAAAAAACAACGATCATTCGTCCGAAATTCTCATTGTGTGTACAAGGCTTTACTGCTGATCTCCTTAAGCTGCTTCCTTTCTACATTCACACTCTCCAGTTGCAGCTGCATACAATTTCTCAGGGCAGATTGTTTCTTGGATGACAACTGCAGAACATGGCTGCACAATGTGTGTCTACATGGCTGATTGTAGTATGCATGCTTTTTTGAAAAGTAAGTTGCTGAACAAGAAACTTTATGACAAGACTGCCAGTATTATTTGCAGCATAGTTAAAGATGATCTCCAGTTTTTGTAACATGTTTTTTTTTTTTTTTAGCATAACTCCACAAAAACTTAGAAGCCAATTAAAAGATTTAACAAAAATATTGCTGCAATTTTACTTGCCTTCAATCGTGAGCTGTCCACTGCAGTACTTCTTTTCTGCCACTAGAAGTCCTTAGTCGTCTAAGGCTAAATGATAGCCACAATCAGGGGTGTATTTACCACAAGGCAAACAAGGCATTTACCTAGGGCGGCATTTTTCAGGGGGGCAGCAGCATTTTTCAGGGGGGCAGCGCTGTCCCCTGAAAGAAGGAAAGGAAGAAGGGACACACGCAGCACGGGGACCAGGTGAAGATCTGAGAGAGGCTGCGGGCTGTTTGATGGTGTATGCAGAGCCTGACTCTTGTTCCCAGAGATGTCAGGAGCTGTGAAGGTGAGTGCCTTATCTCTTGCCGGGGTGGGGGGTTGGCCGGTGGTAGTGGAAGGCTCTTTCGGGTGGGGCGGGCTGGGGTGTTGTTGGTCAATGTCCGTGGGGAGGGAGCCAATTTTTGTGTTGCTTAGGGCAGCACGAAACCTAAATACACCACTGGCCACAATCACTCAACCAACTTCCTGTCCATGCTGTCATAGATCCGCCTCCAGACTGTGATTGGGCAGTGAAGGAAATGCAGCAAAATGAAGTGCCTGTCTCTCGTTCACTCTGTTCTCTCCTCCTAACAGCATGTAACTTGCCATCCCATAAGCTGATTGGCTCCCTGTGGTGCTTTTCCCTCCCAGTCTATGCTGTGCTCTACTGTGACTGTAGAAGGCTAATATCAAATCAAATTAAATCAAATATAAGAGTGCGCTAAATCAACATATACAATGTCCATATATCAAATATGTGAAAGTTCAAAAAATGTGAAAGTTCAAAAAAAATTCCCTACATACAAAAAAAGTCCATACATCAAATATGTGAAAGTCCCAAAAAAATTTTTGTCACAAATATAACGAACTTTGTGAATAATCCACCACCAAATCAATCAAATGCACTCACCAGAGCTAAGTGCTGATCAGATTATAGACCAGCCTTAGCGCTTTTGCTCTGGGACCACATTCAAAAATAAAGAATATAATGGTGCAGCATGTTTAACCAGCATCTATTTATTAAAATATAAAATCCACTCACAAGTGAGGTGTCTAGCTGACACCCGGCATCCAACGCATAGGCACAAAAGGAATTACCGCTGCGTCTACTCAGCTGTCACTCGACATTAGCAGGAACGTCCTGACATCAGCATCGACAAAGCCACGCCCTACGCGTTTTGTCACCACGACGTCCTGAATGTGGTCCCGATATATATGGAGCCGTGGTGATTGTCCACTCATGGAAGAGTGGCTGCAGAGTATTCCTCCTCATTCCTTGCCTATATAGAAGGGTATCTATCAGCTGGATTCTAATACTGCAGAGTATTACATCAAAAGTCTGGAGTTTGTTGGTGTCTACGCTCCCAGAGCAAAAGCGCTAAGGCTGGTCTATAATCTGATCAGCACTTAGCTCTGGTGAGTGCATTTGATTGATTTGGTGGTGGATTATTCACAAAGTTCGTTATATTTGTCACAAACATTTTTTTTTTGGACTTTCACATATTTGATGTATGGACTTTTTTTTGTATGTAGGAATTTTTTTGAATTTTTTGGAACTTTCACATATTTGATATATGGACATTGTGTATATGTTGATTTAGCGCACTCTTATATTTGATTTAATTTGGTTTTCTATTTTTTTGTGGAGTTGGAGTTGCTGCTGTATAGTTTGAGGGGTGTGGCGCTTTTCTAAATACCAATTTAATATTAAATCAAATTCAGGTACTTACACTGCCTGCATGAAAAAATAAATACATTTATGCTGTATTACTGGATACAGATCTGCATTAGTTTGTGACTTTATATCTGCCTGAAGTTAGGCTTTAAAGTGGTTGTAAAGGCTCAAGGTTTTTACCGTTATGCATTCTATGCATGAAGGTAAAAAAAACCTCTGTGCAGCATCCCCCCCCCAGCCCTCCCTAATACTCACCTAAGCTCCCTTTTGGTCCAGCAATATGCACTGGAGTCTCGGCTATCCCAGACTCCCTCTTCTCATTGGTTGGGACAATCACAGCCAGTGAGCCAATGAGAAGAGATGGGGGGTGAGCTGTTGCTCAGAGTGTGAATGGACAGGGGTACCTGACAGGAGGAAGGGGCCAGAAGAGCCTGTGGGGGACCCGAGAAGAGGAGGACCTGGGCTGCTCTGTGCAAAACCACTGAACACAGCAGGTAAGTATAACATGTTTGTTATTTTCAGAAAAAAAAGTTAAGCCTTTAGTATCGCTTAAAACATATTCAAAATGAAATGACATTTGCAATTCTTTGTATGAGACTTTTGCGATTAGTAGTCCTTTGGGTTTGTTGCTTTACACCCTCTGTAGTTAGCACATTTTGCCGCCATGTAGAGAAATGCAGAACGTTTATGTGCCCTACTAGTACGTACATTTGCATCCATAGGCAGTGTATTTAATGGTTACAGTGAAGATTTGCCTCTACTTTTTTAATTTAATATTAATTCTATACACAATTGCAGATTTATCAAATTGCAATCAGCAAATGACTGCCAGCAAAATCATTATAATAAATCAATCACTAGGTGAACATAAGTCAATATAACATCCACTATATTGCCAAAAGTATTGGGCCAGCCCTCCATATCATTGGATTCAGGTGTTCCAATCACCTCCATTGCCACAGATGTATAAAATCATCACCTAGGCATGCAGACTGCTTCTACAAACATTTGTGAAAGAATGGGTCGCTCTCAGGAGTGAATTCAAGCGTGGTCCCGTGATAGGTTGCCACCTGTGCAATAAGTCCATCCGTGACATTTCCTGGCTACTAAATATTCCACAGTCAACTGTTAGTGGTAATATTGTTATAATACCACTTTGTTAAGTGGAAGCAACTGTGGACAACAGCAACTCAGCCATGAAGTGGTAGGCCACGTAAAATGACAGAGCGAGGTCAGCACATCAGTAGTACACAGTGCGCAGAAGTCGCCAACTGTCTGCAGAGTCAATAGCTAAAGACCTCCAAACTTCATGTGGTCTTCAGATTAGCACAACAACAGTGCATAGAGAGCTTCATGAAATGGGTTTCCATGGCCAAGGAGCTGCATCCAAGCCTTACATCACTAAGTGCAATGCAAAGCATCGGATGCAGTGGTGTAAAGCACGCCGCCACTGGACTCTAGAGCAGTGAAGACGTGTTCTCTGGGGACGAATCACGCTTCTCTGTTTTGCAATCCGATGGACATGTCTAGGTTTGGTGGTTACCAGGAGAACAGTACTTGCCTGACTGCATTGTGCCAAGTGTATAGTTTGGTGGAGGGGGGATTATGGTGTGGGGTTTTTTTTTTTTCAGTTGGGCTTGGCCCCCTAGTTCCAGTGAAGGGAATTCTTAAGATGTCAGCATACCAAGACATTTTTGGAAAATGTAATGCTCCCATCTTTGTGGGAACAGTTTGGGGATGGCCCCTTCCTGTTACATCATGACTGCACACCAGTGCACAAAGCAAGGTCCATCAAGACATGGATGAGCGAGTTTGGGGTGGAGGAACTTGACTGGCCTGCACAGAGTCCTGACCTCAACACCGATAGAATGCCTTTGGGATGAATTAGAGCAGAGACTGCGAGCCAGGCCTTCTTGTCCGACATCAGTGCCTGACCTCACAAATGTACTTTCTTTAAGAATGGTCCAACCTTCCCATAGACACCCTCCTAAACCTTGTGGACGGCCTTCCCAGAAGAGTTGAAGCTGTTATAGCTGCAAAGGGCGGGGCCAACTCAATATTGAACCCTACAGACTAATGCAGGCCATAGACGTTTCATTTATCGGCTGATTTTTCAGCCAAAAAACAAAACATCGGTTGTTCTGTTGCCACCAATGATTGCAAAAATTGTCCGTTTTTTGCAAATTTTCCAGCATGACCGATAAAAGAAATGAGGAGGAACCGCAAAAATCGGCCGATAACATTGCCCCACTAATGGTGAAAAAATCGGCCAATTATTTTTTTTGGATGAAAAATCGGCCGATAAACGAACCGTCTATGGCCTGCATTAGACTGGGATGCCATTAAAGTTCATGTGCGTGTAAAGGCAGGCCTACCAATACTTTTTTACAATATACTGTATATTATTTAAAGGGCGACCGTACACAAAGGAAAAAGTGGTTTTGTGTGAAAGAGATACCCACATAGTCCACAAGCATGCTTCTAGAAGTAGCAATACAAGACAAGGTGGCTGCGATGACTTGTAGCATGCAGCCTATTGTTTTATGACATGTACTCCGAAATATTTTTCAGGCTAAAGATCAACGAATTGGGTGTTAGTGGGCAATTTACCCGTCTTGGCAGTCACCTTGTCTGCAGTACTTAGATTTCAGTGTGATGCAAGTGAAGTGATCACAAACAAATTGTGCAAAGTTACATCTGCTTCTGACATTTATGGCTCATTCATACTTGTTTTGCTGTCTGAAGAATGATCTGTGTTCGGGTAGCTCTTCAGAGAGAATTTGACAGGTGGTGAGGAAGAATTGTATTACCTTTAACCCCTTGATCCCCACACTGGCACGCTGCAGCCGTTCCATGGTGCTTGCAGAACAGCCCCATTCATGTGTATAGAACACTCCAAGAAATAATATTTCCTGCTTGTGTGTTTGGCTCATTGGCTTTCCCTGGGATCTGCACTAAGATCAAATTTTAGCCATCCTCTGCAAAAGGATATTCAATTTTTGGAAAGATACTCCCCAAGGGTTAAATTCTTCTACAGAGATGCTGACACTGCAGCTTTTCTCATCAGAGCATTAAGGGGTTGATTCACTAAAGATAAATAGGCTGTGCACTTTGCAAGTGCAGTTGCACTCTGCAAGGGCATTTGCTCCAGAGCTTAGTAAATGAGGGGAAGCTCCGCTGACTTCCATCATCCAATCATGTGCAAGCAAAAATGTGTTGTTTTGTTTTTTGCTTGTAATTGGGTATTCTTTGCAAAGTGAAGTGCCACCTCATTTACTAAGCTCCAGAGCAAATTACTTTGCAGGGTGCAACTGCACTTCCAAAGTGCATAGTCTATGGGCTTTTAGTAAATCACCCCCTTAGAGTGTACCCAACAAAAGTGGAGTTAGTGACCTAAGAAAATGGGCAGCACAGTGGCTAAATGGTTAGCACTTCCGCCTGGCAGTACTAGGGTCATTGGCTTGAATGCCAACCATGGCACCACCTGCCTGGAGTTTGCGTGTTCTCCCTGCGCCTGCCTGGGTTTCCTCCGGGTACTCCGGTTTCCTTCCACACTCTAAAGACATGCTGGTAAGTTAAATGGCTCCTGTCTAAATTTTCCCTAGTATGTGTATGTATGAATGTGAGTTAGAGACCTTAGATTGTACGCCCCTTGAGGGTTAGGGAAATGTATTCTTACATAGTAACAGTAGCCCAGACAGGCTCATCCAAAGTACATTGCTTTGTCTATTCAGTGAATTGCTGCGTGTCCAAGTGTGGGAGGTTCTCTTTGTTTTGTAAAGTACCATTCTAAGCAGAAAGTACCAAAAAATTTTTTGGAAACTATTTTTCCAGGTCTGCTACTCTAATTGTATATACCAGGGGTCTCCAAACTTTCTAAACAACGGGCCAGTTTACTGTCCTTCAAACTTTAGGAGGACCAGACTGTGGCCAGCTGGAGTAGAAAATGTCTTGGTGTGCGTGGTGTCAGTGGGAAGAATAGTGCCCCATCGCTGGTGTCAGTAGAAGGAATAGTGCCCCATCGTTGGTATAAGTGGAAGGAATAGTGCCCCATCGTTGGTGTCAGTAGAAGGAATAGCGCTCCATCATTGGTGTAAGTGGAAGGAATAGTGCCCCATCTTTGGTGTGAGTAGAAGGTACAGTGCCCCATCGTTGGTGTCAGTAGAAGGAATAGTGCCCCATCTTTGGTGTCAGTGGAAGGAATAGTGTCCCATTGTTGGTGTGAGTGGAAAGAATAGTGCCCCATCGTTGGTGTCAGTGGAAGGAATAGTGTCCCATTGTTGGTGTCAGTGGAAGGAATAGTGCCCCCATCGTTGGTGTCAGTGGGAGGAATAGTGCCCCCATCGTTGGTGTCAGTGGAAGGAATAGTGTCCCATCTTTGGTGTCAGTGGAAGGAATAGTGTCCCATTGTTGGTGTCAGTGGAAAGAATAGTGCCCCATTGTAGGCATCAGGGGCAGGAACTATGTTCCACCTTTGCTGACAGTAGGGGGGAATAATGGTCCAAGGGCCAGATAAAAGCAAGCAAAGGGCTGCATCCAGCCCCCGGCCATAGTTTGGAGACCATTGGTATATACTGTACATTATACTGTGATTTGCTGGTAAACCTTTAGCGGGACACTAATTAAAAATGTTGACCTACAGCTAGACAATAAATGTAATATATTGCAGATTACCAGCCCTTAGATGTAGGAGCTGAATTAGTTTTCCTCTTCCAGACTTTTTCTGTATTTGTTTTCCACTGTTGATCCCTCCATTACCACATTTCCTGTCCTAGACCGACAACGATAACTCACTATACTGTATCTACCTATATGGAAGAAAAATATATTTGAAATATATTTTAAAAAATATTCTTCCCAAATATATTGCCATATATTTGAAATGCTACAATGTTGGCCAATGGCCATATTCAATATATTTCAAAATATATTTCAATAAAAAAAAATATATATCTATATATATACTGCATGTTCAAATGTGTTTTTATTACAACAAAATATATGAAAACTATTTTTAAAAATACATTTCAAATATACTGTACAGTGGGGATCGAAAGTTTGGGCACCCCAGCTAAAAATTTGTATTAAAGAAGCCAATGAAAGATGGAAAAATCTCCAAAAGGCATCAAATTACAGATTAGACATTCTTATAATATGTCAACAAAAGTTAGATATTATTTCCATCATTTACACTTTCAAAATAACAGAAAACAAAAAAATGGCATCTGCAAAAGTTTGGGCACCCTGCAGAATTTGTAGCATGCACTGCCCCCCTTGCCAAGCTGAGACCTGCCAGTGTCATGGATTGTTCTCAATCATCGTCTGGGAAGACCAGGTTATGTCAATCTCAAAGGTTTTAAATGCCCAGACTCATCTGACCTTGCCCCAACAATCAGCACCATGGGTTCTTCTAAGCAGTTGTCTAGAAAACTTAAACTGAAAATAGTTGACGCTCACAAAGCTGGAGAAGGCTATAAGAAGATAGCAAAGCGTTTTCAGATGTCAATATCCTCTGTTCGGAATGTAATTAAGAAATGGCAGTCATCAGGAACAGTGGAAGTTAAAGCAAGATCTGGAAGACCAAGAAAAATATCAGACAGAACAGCTCGCAGGATTGTGAGAAAAACAATTCAAAACCCACGTTTGACTGCACAATACCTCCAGAAAGATCTGGCAGACACTGGAGTTGTGGTACACTATTCCACTATAAAGAGATACTTGTACAATGTGGTCTTCATGGAAGAGTCATCAGAAGAAAACCTCTTCTACGTCCTCACCACAAAAATCATCGTTTGAACTTTGCAAATGAACATATAGACAAGCCTGATGCATTTTGGAAACAAGTTCTGTGGACCGATGAGGTTAAAATTGAACTTTTTGGCCGGAATGAGCAAAGGTACGTTTGGAGAAGAAGGGGCACAGAATTTAATGAAAAGAACCTCTGTCCAACTGTTAAGCATGGGGTTGGCTCAATCATGCTTTGGGGTTGTGTTGCAGCCAGTGGCACAGGGAACATCTCACGAGTAGAAGGAAAAATGGATTCAATAAAATTTCAGCAAATTTTGGATGGTAACTTGATGCCATCTGTGAAAAAGCTGAAGTTAAAGAGAGGATGGCCTTCTACAAATGGATAATGATCCTAAACACACCTCGAAATCCACGGGGGATTACATCAAGAGGCGTAAACTGAAGGTTTTGCCATGGCCTTCACAATCTCCTGACCTCAACATAATTGAAAATCTATGGATAGACTTTAAAAGAGCAGTGCGTGACAGACAGCCCAGAAATCTCAAAGAACTGGAAGACTTTTGTAAGGAAGAATGGGCAAAGATACCTCAAACAAGAATTGAAAGACTCTTGGCTGGCTACAAAAAGCGTTTACAAGCTGTGATACTTGCCAAAGGGGGCAGTACAAGATATTAACTCTGCAGGGTGCCCAAACTTTTGCAGACGC